TGCGGTTCAAGAACACCAACTTGAGACCGGCACCTCCTTTGGACTCTTCCAGCAGGACTATAGCAACACGGCAATTTTGGCGTCAGATACTTGGCTCAAAAGAGTCTGGAAAGAGTTGGAGGACTTGACTCTCCTGTCCTCCCTCTCCGGTGCAAAGGCGACGCCTTGCTCATTGAGGTATTCATGGAGTTGGAAGTGGATCAGGATGGTTTCACCAAGCCCATTGGCACAAAGGTAAAGCAACCAAAGGGAGGACAATGATGTGAAACTTTGAGGTATGGTCCCCGAGAGTTGATTGTTTGCTGACCGGAAGTTTAAAACAATATAGGCCTTGAGTGCTATTACCAACAAAAGGGCTCAACAGGCAATCACAAGACAATTGGATACATACAAAAGGCAAGATTGGTGAGAGATCCGTGATTTCCAATACTTACCGGTATTGTTCCTGAGAGTTGGTCGCTTCCTACAAGAACATTGGATGACAGGCATAGCGAGCCTGAGAGTTTGTGAGCAAAAACAAAATGGTTGCTTTTGCGAGCCTTGCTTGTTATGGAGCTGAATGGTATCAAAACTAAATACAACCAAAGAAGAGTTTTCTACAATTTCTGGGATTGTTCTGAACAACACAAACCTTAGCATCCATAACCGAAAGCAAAGCAAGGTAGCAGAAACCATACAATGAGCTTTGTAATTGCATCTGGCAATGATCCTTGCAAATTGTTTGCAACAATTACAGAAGGAAAACAAAGACACAGGGAAGCGGTGAGAAAAGTGAACCTCCAGACTTTGCTACCACATCAAATGGCTCACCGATGGCAAGATTAGTGAGTGGCCCAGGAGAACTATTGGTCAAATAACTGTACACAAAAGTCCAAACTGCAGACGGGCTCTACCAACAGCCAATTTGTGTTCTCAGTCCAACTATCTCCATTTGTCAAGTAGTACAGTGCTATCATTCCAGCCACATGTAACCACTGTTTGAGTCATCTGCATCTGGTTCCCAGGTATTGGTTTCAACAAGCCAATCCATTGCTTGCTCATCAAACGGTGCGTGGTCCAACAGAATGCCTTCTATCATTGCTCAGCAAGCATCTGCTGTTGTAGTCGGGGATTGCGACATGGCAGCAGACGGAGACAATGTAGGACGCTTTGTTGGAGATGTTGTTGGGAGCGGGGTGGCATGTTGTGTCAGAGAAACTGAAGGATTCACCAAAGGGGACTCCGAAGGTGAAAGTGTAGGGAGTACTGTGGGTCTGGGAGTAGGCATCACTGTTGGTCTCTTGGTCAGGCCTGGAGTTGGAGTTGCCGGAGGTTTCAGAGAAGGAGAGTCAGTAGGTCGAGGTGTCACACCAGGCGCGGGAGCAATTGATGGAGCTTTGGTTGCTTGTCATCTCCAGGTATGGGTGTGAAGGGCAGACGGTAGCGGGACTGCATTTAACTTTTTTTGTATTCATATTGATCAATTGATTCATTCATTCCACACATCTTGAATCTGTTGAACAACTTGAAACTACAGGGTTGAAACATTTAGCAAACAAAACAACATTGCAAGGCTTTCGTCCATAGGCACAGCAGCTTCAGGCCAGTCATGGTACCAGGAATAGAGCGCTTGCCCCGAAGTCCTGATGCTTCTACCCGGCAAAGAAATGGTCGCTGTTTGAAATCAATATTCACGCATCTGTTTGTGTTCGCCTTGGGGATGCTAAGCGTCATCAATTTCAATCTACACAAACACATAGGGTCGCTTGGTGATATGAACAGCGATGGATCCAGAAAAGGCAATGGAAGAAATCTTGCCAATGGCCGGCAAAATTTCTTTGGCCATGGAAAACCACGGTCATCCTTGTCTTCGAAACAAACGACACTTCCCAACTTCTCAAAGAAGGACTTTGTTTCCAAACCAGCCAAGGCGTCCAATACAGAGGTAGACGCAAGGCTACAGGTGGAACGACCGTTCATGGAGAGTGCTTCACGAACAATTATAGATTCCATTTATGATGTCGAACGAAAATACGTGCCATCAAACGAGTGCAACGCTTGGGGAGGCACAAAATTCATGGAGGAGCTATCGCAATCTTCCAAGTGCTTAGTGGAGGGCGGAACATCTACCATTGAATCCTTCCGAAATGAAGCCATGGATGTTTACTTTGCAGAAAACGTTGCGGTGCTTGTATCGATGCCAAGTGCCTATGAAAATGAAGATCAGCGAGCACCCAATTTTTCGCTAGAGGTGGATGGCCAATTGGTTCCGAATCTGAAACAGCGGCTGTCGGGAAAAGAGAAGGATAGTGTTGTTGCCAAGATGGGTAAAAATATCAAGGAGCGGAAAGGGATTCCAGAATGTACAGAATATATTGAGTACCCTGTCATGCTGATCGACAGTGGAGTGGATACATGGTATGACTTGATTCATTCATCCATTCATTTGCTATAGTCCTATATGCTGGATGGCAACCATATTGTTGCTCCGGCAACTAAATTGCACACTGGCACTATGATGTTGTGATTGTAAACTCACGCGCCTCGTTCTTCTGCAGGAACTGGTGGTTCTTTCTTCAGATCATACTTCGTAAGTCTACATTGAAAGAAGTTACTTTGGGCTAAATCATATGATTCGGCGCCTCTTGCCTTTCTATGAACGCGGCCATTGCTCATTCACTCTTTTTTTAAATTTGGGCAGACCATTATATAGCCGTGGGTCTAGTGCAACCACATCTTATGGGAGACTACCACGATGATGCCTTACGGGTCATGCTCACATCGAACGACAACGCGTACTCACGTTCCAATGTTGACGCATTTGAATTCATCTTTTCGGATCGACGAGGAAGAGATGCAAGGCAACTGTGGCACATGGGAGAAGATGCAAATTTAGCCAGCACGCATGGGAACAAAGAACAGAGGTTTTGCTTCCGAAAGGTGCGTTGCATTGAAAGAACGATTCAAGTATTTTCGTCAATCGAGTGTTGTCCCTCTAACTGGCACTTGAATCATAGCTCTTGTGGGCGCCCGGTGGAGGAGGTGGTGGTGAACTCTTGGTGAATCACGCCCATGGGCACAGTAACTGCTTCTCTTCCATCATATACTCTTACGCAGCTTACATCAAAGCTGCTATGCATATTCCCACGCTACCGCGACCGGAAAAGCCTCGAATTGTTTGGGTGGGGTAAGTTTGGATCAACGGATGTCGTTTGTACCGCTGACGCCATCACTAACTGTGTGCTGCTCGACGAAGACGAGACACTACAAAGGCTGCGAATCCATCCACTTGGCAGCAACGACGTATCATTAACAACCAAGACCAAGTCATAATGTACCTGCAAAAGAAATACGAAGCAAAAGGTATTGAATTCATAATTGCCGACTTTTACGGCAAGAAGAAAGATACACCCTTTCAGGAACAAGTCCTATTCGTTTCGAAAGCAAATATTATGATTGGAATGCATGGTGCTGGTCTGAACATGTTTCACTTTATGCCCTTCAACTCGGTGGTGGTAGAAATCCACCATGGTACACAAGCGCAAAAGAACTCGGCCAACTTTGTGAACCATATACGAGAAGGTGCATATCTGCCGCTCAAGGCTATCATGAAAGCGGGCCGCAAATTGGACGAGAAGCCAGTCTGGGACAAATTGGAGCAAGCAATTCAAAAATGGCATGATCTGGGTAAACAATAAACAATCTTGTGGCGACGATTTGTGGCGATGATTTGCGGAGATGCTAAAGACAAGCACCGATAGAACCCGCAGAACATACTGTGCGACTACCTGCCACGGTTGATTCAACTACCAAATCAGTCATCACTGCTATTGCTTGGGACTCCGGCACAGAAAGAAGAGCTTAATTGTATCTTAAAGCTGAGGAATATTGTCGCTATCATCGTCATTCTTTCCATTTTCAATACTGTTTTGATGTGACAACAGCTGTGATAAGGCTGCTAATTGCTGCATCATCGCATCCTTCTGTGCATTGTTTTCATCACGATGGTCCTTTTGAAATTGCTGTCTTTCATATTCTGCCGCGTCCTGTCCTGTTCTCTTCACCTTGGTCATGGCATTTTTTAGGTCTTTCACCATCATGGGACGCAATGCGGCCTTGGATGTGGGAGGCTGTTCATTTTGCGATCCGTTTGATTTTCTAGACTTGGTCATGACAGCAATTCTTGCTGTTTCTTTCATGACCTCTCGAATTGATTCTCTTGCAGCACAATGACAAAGTTCTTTCAAGTCACTTCCCGAGTACCCTTTTGTCTCTTTGGCCAATGTTGGCAAATAGTCCTTTGTTGCCGTTGCCATTGGGTGTCCACTTAAAGTCAAACGAAGGATTTGTAGTCTACCATCTTGCGACGGAAGGGCAATGCGAAACTGGCGTGGAAAGCGTCTAAGAATGGCAGAGTCCACGCTGTTTGGTCGGTTAGTAGCTCCTAAGACAATGACAGGTTCTTGATCTTGACGTGTTGTAATGCCATCCCAGAGAGTCAAGAACTCTGCCTTGATTGCATTGCCTGCGCCCCCTTCGTTGCTCCCATCGCGTGGATTGAGGAAAGTATCAAGCTCGTCAATGAAAATGACAGCAGGGGCGAGCTTGCGGGACAAACTGAAAATGGCCGAAACGATCTTGTTCGATTCACCAAACCACTTGGACATGAGCGTGCTGAGACGAACAGCTACAAAAGTTGCGTTGGCTTCCCGTGCAATGGCCTTTGCAAGCATGGTTTTACCTGTCCCAGGTTGTCCATAGAGCAGAATTCCCGTAGGCTGTGTCAAGAGGTGAGATTCCCGGAATAAATCAGGTCTTTGCAAAGGCAAAACGGCCAACTCCCATAGTTCCTGTTTGATATCATCAATACCGCCAATATCGGAAAAAGAAGTAGAAATGTCGTCAGGATCAATGACGTCTTGTGCAATTTGACGTTCGTGGTTGGTCAGTTCTAATGAAGAAGAATCTTTCCCTTGCTTCTCGAGTAGTTTGACCAATCGGTTTTCTGCCCTTCCTAGACTCGCCGCATTTTGCTCATCCTCGCCTTGAAAAGGTTTCAAAAGTTTAGTCAAGAAAATACTTGCAACGTACGAAGTCGCAATGATTGCGCCAATTTCGAGCAATAGACCGACTAAACCCGCGATAGCGTTCTCTTTGTCTTTGGACGTCTTGGTTGCTGACTGGCCCACTGGCGAAGCGTTTGACCACCAGGTGGACGAAGAGCCAGAGGATTGCACCGACATTATACTTTCACCAGATTAATACAATGTACACGTATACCAAGTAACGCCCTTATTGTTTCTCTGTTGTTTCCGATGGGGGAGAAAGAACTATTGAAAATATAACATGAATTGTTCTCATGGTCGTCATCATTCATTCTACACGAGTCAAATATTTATTTTTTGACTTTGCGGGAATGCACACGTACAACATCCAGGCGCGGCAGTAGGCCTTTATTAGTGTTATTCAGAGACAGTACGGATCTGCTGAAATGTCGTACGTTGAAACTAAAAATGTACCTTTTGTCTCCATTATTCCACCGCTTAGAAAAGGGGCATGCTTCCGCACCAATAGAATCTGCAACAACGGAATCTTGGAATTCAGGCCAACTGCAGGGAATTCATGCTGCTGCTGACAACTGGGAATTTTTTCAGCAGTTGGCTGAATTCGATAGATTCTTTAGTGGCACGCTCGAAAGATGCTATGCTGGCGGATATACCGTTAGTTGACAAGTTAAGGATTATAACGTACGACGTACGGGCGGGTTTCAGCAGAACCACTTCCCTGTGTTGACCCATGTTAGTTGACACTCTGCAGCCAGCTCGTTTACGTGTGACCTACAGACGTTGTGGGTTGACCGCAAGACGATGGCTAGAGAGTTTGGTGCAATTGAAATTCAAATTAGCGTGACACGTGCGAGCGACAGACGGAAAGGACGAACTACAGACGATAGCGAATAAAGTGGATATCAAGATACTGTAGTTGATAGATAGTCATAGCGATAGTGAATAGTTCATAGCAATAGTGACAGTGAATATTCAATAGCTCATAGTGAATAGTTCATAGCTGCCGGTATAGTGGTACTGCACTGGAGGTATTTATACCTGGTCTGCATCCTTGAAGTATCTATTTTCTCATGTTTGCCTTCTTGCTGAAATCGTTCAAGTGCCCACCGCACTCTCACAATCGTCCTCATCTTTCTGCTTTTCCAACTTCTAAAGTAAGGAAGAGTTTGTAATGAACACCAGCCACCCTCCTGCTGCTCCTTACCTATGATCGTTACGGTGTTGTTTCCGCCTTGACAGAATAGGGATTCCAGCCATTCTCCACTTTCCATCGAATGTGACGTATACGCTCTTTAAACTTGGGGTACGTGCCGACTGGAGGTCCCCTTGCGAAGTTTCTCCCGAAGTATCTTGGAAAGGTAACGTTGACACCAGATATTTGTTGGGCCTTGTCCAAAGCATTGAACCATTTTACATATGATTGGTCGCTGTAGGATAAGGTGATGCCTTTTTCTTCATGAACTGAAGTCTTAGCTTCCTTGCCTTGGGGAGGCACCATTTGCAAAAAAGTGGAGAGAAGCTTCTTGCCGTCAAATTCCTTCCCGTTGCTCCTCATTTCTCCGTTCAAAGAAGATACTAACTGGTCGAATGTCTTGGTCACCTCCTCTCGACTCGGCGATGGTTCGCCATTTGAAGTTCTATATTGTGTGGAGTTTTGTTGCCATGGCTTCCCCCGACCTGGATGATGATCACCGAAAGAAGTGTGAAAATTGAATAGGACGCATGCTTTTGCACTGTTGATACCTTTTCTTGGTGAGATTTTCTCTTACCTGTGAAGTGTCGAAAGTCAGTATATGGCGCATTTTTACTTGTATGACAGGATGCAATATTGATAGGATCGCTTGGACGGTAGTTTATAAACGCTTTTTCCATTACTGCTTTGCCGTTTTCGCTACCCCAGTTTTGCACCTGGTAGTTGATGATAAGTGTGACGCTCTGTTTGACATATTTTGTCCTGATAGGTGAAATCGAAATAGGATGAGGAGCAAGGCGTGAGATGAAAAATTGGGCACGGAAAGGTTCCAAACATTATGAGGAACTGACCAGTGATAGAGCAAACCCTGATCCGCGTGCACGCCATGCCAAGACCAATTTGTGGAGGTATACTTTGACATTGAGGACATCCATCGATCTGGGGGCTCAATCTTATGACCCCAGCCTTCAACTTCGTCCCAATGCTCAAACGGAGGCAGAGATAAGGCTTTTTCTTCTGTCGTCTTTATGATCTTTTGGATTTCCTCATAGTCGCTTTCTTGAGGGCGTAGCATGAAGAAGCCACCATGCGCGGGTTGGTTGGAATAAGATATCACAATATTGTCCTTTAAAAGTGGCTCTCCAGACTCTGGCTCCGACAACTCAAAGAGGTAATCCAAGGAACATAACGGCATGACATCACCGTCCATGAATATGACTCGACTGTATTGTGTCATTTGAAGGATTCGAAACTTTTCCAGCATCAAAGTGTAAAATACTTCATGAACCATCGAAGAGAACTTTGGAATATATTCAATCTTTACGTTCAGAGCCTCGAGAAGTTTCGATTCGTCCTCCGGAAGGGCAGTCTCGTTGGTTCTGGCCGACATTTGGATCAAAGCGACAACATCTGCTTGGGATCCAGCTTCTTGTAACACTTGAGCTGCGACGGCTATATTCCATATGAATCCTCGATACTCTGGCTTGTGCTTGCTGCATCCCCCTACTACGAAAGCGTAAGCCCACTTTCTTCTTGCCGGTTCTGCACTTGTTTTCTGCCTAAACAGTGATGAAACAGAAGACTGCGAAAGATGGTGACCTTCAGTGTCAACGTTGTCGCCTGTCCATTGTGGAAGGCTCCTATCCAAGAGAAGTGCCTGTCGCCTCAATGCGACAAGAATCAAAGCCGCAAGAAAGACTACAACGGTCCTCTTGAGCATCGCACCCCTCATCTTCACTGTGAAAATAATTTGGATAATTTTTTTTGAATATTGAGACCGTTAAAAAACGTTTTTTAAGAGTCTCCCTGTCCAATAAACCAAAATAGAAATGGAGAATGAGCACTGCCCGAGTTTGCCTCTGAACGCATGGAAACGCCAGAACTGTAACTAGCACAAGAGACTAAAGGATCAGACGAACATCATCACAATAATTCCGCTGTTTTAAAAGCCATCCAAGGAACATTAAATAAGTGTAATGATGAGACGACCATTAGCATTTCTTGTTGGTTTCATTGGAGGAGTCTTGTCGGCAGAACCAAAAGCATACCGACGATGTATCAACAAGTTCGTTGATGAATACTCTGCGGTCAAAAATGTCGATATGACTTCTTTACTAAAGACTCTACAAGATGGGACAGTTTGCGAGAGCTCATTCATGGCATGTTCCAAGCTCTCACAAAATGCAGTCGATGTGACGTCGATTGAGCCCCCATTTCATCTTGCGATACTTCTTCTCCCGGATTCAAGAGATGATGAATTCTTGGCGCTGGCGGCTAGCCTGTTAATTCAGGGTTTCCAAATCACTGTTTATGATTTTCTCAGACCTGGCTCAGACTACAGGGTTGATTACATTCAGAATAAGGTTCTGACACAGATTCCATGCAAACCAGATGCCAGACTCAAGAGTTTCTTGAACGTCATCAGCGCAATCGATGCAGCAGGCACGTGTACTCGGAAACCTTTAGATCGGAATATGATCAAGCGGGCGTATCAAATGATGGATCTACTAGTTATGACCATGGGATACGACCCTACAGTTTCACAAAACCACCCGGACACAAAGTTTCGTGCCGATGTACTCATCATGGATGTGTACAATGTAGCTGGCATGTTGATGGCCGATAAGTTCCAAATCCCAGCCATTACCATTGGGGCAGCATCGTCCTTGGAACTTGCAATAGATCATCACTCCGAATGGGAACCACCCGTCACTTGGGATCACATATTGGAAGGAATCTACCTGACCATCCGCCAGAGATGGCAGAGTTTGATGTTGACCAAACCATTAATGGCTCTCAACTCCAAACGTAGAAAAGTCGGCCTAGATCCATTGAAGCGACCATCTGATTACTTTTTGCCTGTGGTGGCACTAATTATTCAATTTCTTCCTGACGAGTACGTTGACAAGGTCCAGCATCAAGATTATTGGAACATCATTCACGTCACTGGAGCTATACAGCCACTGTGTGTTCCTTGCATTTCCACATACAAGCAAGCGACTGGGTGGAGACTGACCCAAACAAATCCAACCATTATGGTGTCTTTGCCTCCCGAATACTCGACGCTCGAGACAACTAGCACGGTACTACAGAGTCTCATTTTGAGTCAACAAATGCTTATTCGCAACAAGCGCCCTTCATTTGCGATTGTGTGGTTGGACTTTGGCGACGAGAGCGTCTCCTTTTCTGCTGCCGACGATGATTTCACTCGAGAGAGTTCTGTCAATCTTTTGGATAGTCTTTCTCGCCATCCTGATACCGTCATGGTTATTGGACACTGTGATTCTGATTCTGTGGTTGCAGCCATTTTAGGGGTCTCTGTCTTTTGCTTCTCGCAAGACGAGGAAACGTCTGGGTTGCTACCAGTACTCTTCAATGAGACTGGGATGATGGACCCAAATGAAATACCAAAAGTCTTGGTGCAGGATTATCTTCAAAAGTATGCGGGGGACGAACGCAATTACGATATTGATGTTGGTATGCACAAAACTGCATCTCGACAAAGAGACTGGCTTCAGCTTGATGGCTTGCCGCATGTCACATTCTTGATAAAAAAGACTGTGGAGACGCATCGTCGATCTCAGCCTTGGAACTCAACAGCAGAGATGCATAACACCATTGCAGCAGCATTGAAAGGCGAAGAGTCTCTGTGGAGATTGCAAGAGCAGCGGCATTGCGATGCTATTGGAACACTATGGGCATGGTTTGTGGCATTGGCAACGTTTTTGTATATATTTGTCAAGTCATTCTCATCTCCTCCAATAGAGCGGTATATTGGAAAATACATGGACAGGTTTGATGATATCTTTCCCGATATCGAGGATTCACTCCGAATGATGGAAAATTGGTGTCTACAGCAGGCCTCCGGTGAGTCTGAGGGGAGACTCCGCGTAGCAATGCGCAGAAGGAATGAAAGGGAGAGGAAAGTTTCTTAGGTCGATTATTGTTTTGGTGGGGTCAATCCATGAGTCAAGTTTTAAAACAAGTCAGCTAGAATTGTAAAATGGTGAACATAACGCTATACAAGTTACATTCGTAAATAATTCGGCGCACTAGAAGATACATCTACACTGTCACCACAGCTTATTTCCGTTCCATCTTCTTCAAAAGTGTGTGGTAACGGTTGACATCTCCTTTTCGCTTAGGCCCATCCATAGTAAACATGAGTTGGAAGTCTTGTTCTGAGAAGTCGTTGCGATTGTCCTGGTAGTAAGCTTCGAGTTCCCCCATTTCAAGCTCCATCATACCAAAAAATGTGGCACTTCGCTCAAAGGATACAGCAGCCAATTCAATATCCCAAAACGAGTTGTCAAAAGATGTAGCTCCTTTCAAATCGCGATATAATACAGATCCAGAGCGGTCCAGCGCTTCAACACCATTCATTGTCAAAGGTGCCTTTGTTACAATGCCCTGACCAGCAGCCAAAACACGCACTGTTTGAATCAGGCACAACGGAATGTATTGCTCCAGTGTAGAAAAGGTGTAGGCTGTCACAGCGTTACCAGCAGCCTCCCTCAAATTATCTGAAGCTGCAGTCATGTATTCACCGAGATCATTTACCGATGACGGAATTCTGACAGCATCACGGGCCACGATGGTGGATGAATTGCAAACCTTAGCGAGGCGAACAATCGACTGAAGCAGCACGTCTGACCTGCAAAACTTTGCCATTTTTAGCCCATTTGAGCGGATTGTCTTGATGGCTTCACGCAATGCTCGTGTATTTGCTAATGTTTTCGTAGTGACTCCAAACTGGCTTCTCATCTTGAGTCTGCTGTCCAACAAACTTGACAATTTCAACAACGAATGCGCCAGGCATGCTGCTTTCATCAGGTCCTCGTCTCGACAGGTCTTGACTGTGTTATTCTCTTCCATTCCTGCAAACTCGAGATAAGGCTTTAAAAATTGCAACTCAATGCTCAAGTTCACTTCCTCACGATCCACGCCGCCTACAAAGTCGAGTTCGCCGTAATCGGCCAAGACGGCCGCTCTTGGATCCGAAACTACCCTAGGCGTATCTCCAATAGGAGGAGGAATGGCAGATACTCCAGAAAGATCTCCTGGTGACCGATCGTCACTCATAGCTTCAAGCAGATCGCCATCAGCATAAGCCAGCACAAGCTGAGCAAACGCTTTTCTGCGTTCCATAGCTTGGCCGAAGGACTTTGGTGCACTATCTTCTCTATATTGGGAGGAACTATCCATCAAAAGTTGAAGCGCTGTTTGGTTGGAACAAATTCTGGTGACTTGCTGTTTTACACGTGAAATAAAAGTCAAAATGACGTGCTCCAAGACAGCAACCAGCGGCAAGTACATATCTCCACCCTTTGGTAGTCGATGAAGTGCCAGAAAGAGCGGTCCAGTAAAGTTGTACAGAGCTGTACAAGCCACACACATGTCCACATCTTGTGGTTCGTTGGAATCAGCCCTTGCATACACATTCCGATCCAAAACTGGATCAAAGGCATCCGGTCGTTCTAGTGCTTGCACCGTTCCATTGACAGCTTCTTCTTGGAGAACTGGCAGCACTGCCTTCTGAATTACGTTATCCAGATACTCCAAGGCAGGTAGTTCCACCGGTGTTGAATAGCTTGGTGACGAAGTGTCTTCACGAGTGCTATCTGCGAGCTCCTTTCGTAGTAACGCATTATCCCTGTGCCACTTGGCAAGAGCCTTTCGGAAAAAGAGAGCGTGTCTAATCTGTGGTGTTCCGTTCTGAGTAGTCTTTGCAAATAGAACGTCCTTGATGAATTTGGGGATGGATAGATTTTGGTTGTTCATGAGACGAGAAGAGGTCGTTGATGCCAACCACGTACTAGTGTCTTCTGTTCCCTCCTCTTCATCATCAATGATACCCATTCGGAAGATACCAACCTCTGAGCTGCGAGTGTTCTTTCCTTTGGCTTGTACCGTTGACTTTCGGCGAGACTGACCGCTCGACATGCTAAATTTACTGTCCTCAGGACTATCGGCAACTTCTGTAAGACATGCATTGAGAAACATCTTCAATTGCCGTTCCATGACACCTTTTGCATGTTGAAGGACACCTGCCATTACAATGGATGAGTCACTTGAACTGGAATATGCATTTCCAGCTTTCTGTATATCGCAGAAACCAAAAACTTTGTTAGAATAGAAAACGGAGTACTGCATCTCCGAACCGAAACCATTACTTACAATTCGGTGACGAATTATCTGTGAAAGATGTGTCAATCGCACTTGAACATTTCCAAAGGCAGAGACGATGCTTGCCATGTGCTTTCGGAAGTCTCTCAAATCGGTAGTTGCTCCAGCCTTACTCATTAGCATGGCATACCTCCCCCTTCGTTGCAAATTGTGTGTTGTGCTACCTTCTACTCTCAAGAAAGTTCTTGTCTGTTCTCGATGAATCAAGGCCGTCATTTCCTTTTCGACGACATCGGTAATATTGCGCTCGACATCATCCAGACGGCGAAGTCGGACCAAACATTCCACTAGAGTACGCAAGGCAAGTATATGGTCCATATATCTTGGTCGACTTAGTGCTTTGGTGTCAGCGCCTCCGTGATACTTGAGCTCGTCAATGGAACGGCGCTCTTCCGACTCCAATTCAAATTCGGCCTCCATTGCAGGTTGCGGAATAACAAATCTGGATGCTTTTTTGGCAGAGCCATCGTCCTCGTCGTCATAGAAATCTTCTTCTACGATTGCATCGTCGTTGATCTCTTGTAAATAAAGAGGATTTTGGAGGGATTCCACTTGCAAATCATAGTCAAGAGCAAATCTCATGCTATAGCCCAAGAAAGGATTGGCCATTCCATGATTGGAATGATTAAACAAATCCACTGGTTTTGCTGATGTTTTCCTGATGTCTCCATCTTTACCAAGCTCGTTCTCCAGTGCTTTGCGGCCAGCTCCAAAAGAAAGGAGTTCTGCTTTTCCATTACCAGTCCTCAAGAAAACGACGTCCATTAGCAATTCCCAAACGACCTCTTCTGCCTTTTGTTTTCGCATCATGAGCTGTTCCATAATTTTGTGCAAGGCCTGAACCTGACTGACATCACTGGAAAACATAGTGTCCAAAGCCTGTGCCACCACAATGGTAGCAGCTCCAATCCGGTGTTGCTCAAGATAGGCATCGAACTGCAAGGGCGCCGCTCGAATGCGATCAAGCTTGTCCAAAAGCGCCAAGACAGCTTCAGCCTCTAACTTTTTCATCCACAGTTCGCGCAAGGACATTGCGGAAGCGGCCGCCGCACTGGCATTTGCCTGTTCTTTGGAAGAAGGTGCATTTCCGGCACCCAGAGTTTCTTGAATTTCCTTGACTTGCTTGCGCAAATGGCGGACTTGCGAGACAGCGTCATCGAATTGGCGTGCTACCCGTCCCACTTGCACCACAGATCCGTTTAAATCTTGACAATGCATCAGAGCCAAATGCTCAATGGCATCCTCAACCACTTGCTGTTGCTCCTTGAGTTGCTTGTAGGCCCGGTTCTTTTGGTTATAGTCTGATTTCTGCTGAATACCAATGTCGTCGTTGCCCATTTGCATTCCTAATACGTCAATCACGCGATGGAGGGTTTGAAAACGTCGGGGATCCTGAAAGAACTCTTCGTCCACATCATTGTTCAATCGGTTTTCCAAGCTCTCGAGGGTTGGAGTCTCTGCTTCCTTGACGCGTTTCTTCTTTGATTTCTTTGATTTCTTGGATCTCGCTGACGAGACGGAGGCATCGTCCGAAAACTTACTGCGAGCCATTGTTGGTTACTTGTATATGCTGAGTATTACTGACTAAGCAGCGGACACTGATCCAAACAACGTGAACAACAAATTGTTGTTCGAAGTCCAAGTCTCTCACCGCAATCCGAAGATCCGTTGGATTTCGGCGTAGAAATTGCGTACAGTACCTGGAACACCCGGCAAATGTTCAGACCGAGTATTTTCGGGACACTGATCGCGAAGTTTGACGTGCTCGTGCCCGGAGATATAAAATTATATTTTTAGCTTCGAAAAATCTATGTTATTTCCCTTTAACCCATCCACGTTTTTGGACTCGGCCCTGATCAGGGCCGACCTCATTTAAAGTTTTTTGCTTGAACGACAAATTTCCTACCGTGCGCGCGTAGAACCATAAAACTACAATCACTAAAACTTAACTCAAATGTAATACACACGTTT